CCCCAGCCACAGGGCGTACTCAAGTCATACTGACACTAGCACTTTCTTACTTATTTATTATGAACAAGATTACAATCAGATGCATCTAGGTCTAGGCGGAATTGCACTCTGATGCATTTGGGCAAGAGCTAGTGTGAGTATGCCCTCACACTACTAGTAGGATGTCTTCACTTGTCACTTCTTTATGCACAAGGGGCCTCTCTCCACTACTCACCAACTGTGTAAAATGAGAATGAATGAACCTTCGGCTAGAACATGGAAAGATACACGCCCACATGTTTTGTATTCTGTGCATGTGTGTGGAGAGTAGTTGGACTGAGGCCCATCATTGTTGCTATACACATCATAGGACGTCGCTTCACGAACGGATGGAAAGAGACGTGACGGTCGCAGATTAAGGAATCTCTAGGAAGACTGAGACACATCCCTAGCAGGCTTGAAGCGATCCAAAAAGCCGTCCCCCCAAGCTAATTAGCACTGCTCTCTGGTAACAGAGGCACTGTAGGCGAGCGGTGGTTGATCTCCCCCTCGCAACAGGGAACGGTCGTACAGATCACAGACGACTTGGGGGAGGATGGGTGGGTAGCAGCTGAATGGTCTGTACCGGTAGACTTCTCCTTCACTAAGAAATTGGTATGGAAAGGGAACCTGCGGCTATCTTCGTTAACAAACTACTCTCAGACTGAAGCGATTGTAAAAAAGAAAACGCAGAGGGCCCCAGCCGGAGGGACATTGGTTACAGTAGTCTCCCTCCCGATGGGCCTGAAACCATTGGAAAAGGCGGCAGTAAATTGTAGAACTGTAGGATGGTGGCAACCACAGAAGCAGGTAATCTTAGGATTGGATGAGTACTCTACTATGGGACGATGGACCCGGTTCCCAGCTGGTGCCATTTTTATGAGGATTTGGTTGTATCTAAGGGACGCTGGACCCGGTTTCCAGCAGGTGATGCTCCCCACCAATAGATGGAGCTTGTGTTGGCTTTTTAAAAAAAAAAAAAAAAAAAAAAGAGAAGGTTCTAGACTGCAGAGGCTGAAAGTAAAGAAGACACCTCTAGCTGTAGTTGCCCACAGACGGCACGAACAAGGACTGCTAACAATTTCATCAGAGCATCTCTCAGTACTGTGGAAACAACTCAAGCAGTTTCCCTCTCAACATCTGTCAAGCATACTATGGCTCCAGTCTATGTTGGCCACAGCTTCAGCAGTGAACTTGGTCTCAAAAGGGATGAAAATCTCCGCAGGGTGTGCACGTTGCAGATGGATATTGGAGGACTCTCGTCACCTATGGTTATCCTGCCCCGCTTCAAGAAGAATCTGGGACTGGTGGATTCAGCATTGGGACAGGATTAGCACCTTGAAGCTGAAATTCACCTGGTCTGATGACTGGATATTGAATGGTACCCACGGTTCAGCTAACTCAGAGGAAAGGGACGGGATCTATGTTGCTCAGGCGATTCGGGCCATCATTATGAAGGTCATCTGGGATGATCGAAATGATGAACTCTTCAAGCAGAAAGTTCAATTTGGCAACGCCATCAAGAACACAGTCACACAGCAGATTAGAACTACTATTCGGAGTGATTGGCTTCGCAGACTGAACAGAGGCAAATACTCTAAAGTTAGGAAATGGTTTTGGGACACTTGGGGCAGGGAGTCCAGACTAGCGAGGATTACTGCCGAAGGCAGGCTATGCTTCTCGCCCTGGCTCCTTACCCCAACTGGTCATGGGAAGCGCTTTAGCTCCCCTCCGTGAGTCAAATCAGTAGATGACATGGCAGTAGGAACTGAATGTGGAAACCCTGCAGGGTCATCCGAATAATGCTTAATATAAGGCCCCGGACAACTTGATCAGTTGCATCCAATGCCAAACATAGTTAGCATCAAACACAGCACAAGTAGCAATCACATCCAGGTAAAATACTATATCTCACTGCAATAATGTAAATATTGCTAGATGGCAATCACGCATATATGTAGATAGAGGCATTGGTAGATGATCTACAAACAAACAATCACACCACACACGAGACATGTGGCATTTTGACTCATCACACAATGATAGACAACCACTGCATCATACAGCTACAAACATATACAATGTACATAAGATAGGCCATTCATTACACGAATGTAGCCGAATGCTGAGTCGCAGTCCAACATCACCAACATAGCTTATACAATCACACACAGACATTGGCATTTAGGTCCTGTTTACCTGTAAGTCATAGCACCTTGCATGTATGATATATCCAGGAACTCTGTGATCTTTGTAAATTGGGACGCTGGGCCCCTTTCCCAGCAGGTGCTGCTCCCCACCAATAGATGGAGCCTTCCCCCGGACCAGCTAGAGGTGACTGCTCCTACCAGCACCTCAAGCTGCCTCCGAGGATGACTTTCCAAAAAAAAAAAAGGAGCAAAAAAAAAAAAAAACAGCTCCATCTATTGGTGGGGAGCATCACCTCCTGCCCAGTAAGCTTTCAGACATTTTTCAGAAGACTTGCCTTGTACGAGGCGCTCCCTTTCTTTTGCCTTTTTTGGAGTTTCTTTCGGTAAAGGGACACTGGACCCGGTTTTCTGGAGCACATAGCTGGGTAAAGGCCCGAGCATGTGTTGTACCGGGTTGTATTGTTGGGGTGTGTTCCCCGGGCCCTGTCTCTATTTAATTTAATGGATGAATCTGTTTTGCTCCAAGAAAAAAAAAAAAAAAAAAAAAAAAAAAAAGGCAAAAATGTGGTGGGTGCATCTGGCCGTGTTGTAGGGGAAAGTTCATTCCTATTTTGCACATTTCGAGAGCAGTGGAGCGAGGCCCATAGTCAAACCGTAAATGCGGTTAGACACATCGGAGGCAGAATTCGTGTTAGAGCATGGCCACACCACTCTCAAATTGTGCAAAACAACAGTAATGAACTTTCTGCTACAACATGGCCAGATGCACCCACCACATTTTTGCCTTTTTCACATTTCAAGAGTGGTGTGGCGAGGCCCTTTGTATGCCCTCAACCCGTTGTTGTTTTTTTCTTTTTTTTCAGAAACAGTAGTTTTATCAGGGCCCAGTGCACTGCAGATTCAGGGGGTTCCAAGGTCTCGAAACCCTCTTCATGGGGTGGAGCCCCTCCCCTGTAGAAAAACCACTGTCTATGAAAAAAAAAAAAAAAAAAAAAAAAGAGATGAAAAAAAAAAACTGTGTTTCGATGCAAACCTGTCTATAGGACGAAACTTGCTATTGGTGTTACGTATAGTTAGGGTTTTGTGTGTGCCATTCTAAATGACTATTTCGTCGATCCACCTCTATGATGTAAGGG